AACGGATGATACTGAAGGAAGAAGTTCAAGCTGCACTAAAGGCACTGGCCAAAAACAGGCTCCAGGAATTGACAGAATACCATTTGAGATGCTTCAACAAACACTGCAACGCTCGAAGGGCTCACTCATCTATGTCAAGAAATTTGGAAGACAGCTACCTGGCCAAACAACTGGAAGAGATCTATATTCATGCCCATTCCAAAGAAAGGCAATTAAATGGAATGCAGAAATCATTGAGCAACATCACTAATATCATACGCTAGCAAAATTTTGCTGAAGAGAATTCAAAAACGACTACAGCAGTACATCAAGAGTGAACTGCCAAAAGTCAAGCCAGACTCAGAAGAGGATGTGAAACGAAGGATATCACTGCTGATGTCAGATGGCTCTTGGCCAAAACAGAGAATACAAGAAAGATGTTTACCTGTGTTTTATCGACTGCACGAAGGCATTCAACTGTGTGGACGATAATAAATGATGATAAACACTGGAAGAATGGGAATTTCAGAACATTTTGTTCATGCAGAACCTGAACACGTATCAACAGGCAGTCATTCAAACAGAAGGTCTGAAGCGTGCACAGTTCAGCATTGGAAAAGGTGCGCAGCAGGATTGTATTCTTTCACCTTACTTACTCTGTCTGCATGCTAATCGTGACTCTGGATTATATGAAGAATGTGCCACCAAAATTGGAAAAAGATTCATTAACACCCTGCGAGATGCAATGACATAACCTTTCCATGACAAAAACGAGGAAGACTTGAAGAACTTACCGATGAAGGTTAAAGATTACAGTATGGATTCAGTATAAAGTACGCCCGAATGTGAAGAAAACCAAAATCCTCACAATTGGACGAATAAACAACATTATGATACATGGAGAAAAACTGAAGTTTTCAATTATTTCATTTTACTTGAATCAACAATCAATGTTCATGGAAACAGCAGTCAAGAAATCAAATGATGTACTGCATTGTGCAAATTTGCTAGAAAAGACCTCTTTTAAGTTTTAAAAAGCAAAGATGTCACTTTGATAACTAAGGTGCACCTGACCCAAACCATGGTTTTTTTCAATCGCCTCATACGCATGCAAAAGCTAGGCAATGAAATAGGAAGACAGAAGAAGAACTGATGCACTTGAATTGTGATATTAGCAAAGAATACTGACTATATGGTAGACTGCTAGAAGAACAAACAAATCAGTTTTAGAAGAAATACAACTAGAATGCCCCTTAAAAGTGAGGATGACACGATTTTGGCTCGCTTACTTTGGACACGTTATCAGGAAAGATCGTTCACTAGAAAGGGACATGTTTGGTAAAATAGAGAGTCAGTGAAAATGAGGAAACTCCTCAATGAGATGGATGATATAACAGCAGAACAACAGACTCAAAAATATCAATGATCATGAAGCTGGCACAGGACTGGGTAACATTTAGTTCTTTTATACATAATGTCACCATAAGTCAGAGCAGACTCCATGGCAACTAACGGCGATAACGATAAAATTGGAAGTACAATAAAGCACTGTTGCCCCCATACCAAAATAAAATGGTTGTTTCCAGGGAAAGCATTTAAGCAATTGAGTTGCTAGCTGAACTAGTCAGTTTTTCTCATGGAACACCATTTTTACTTGAAAGAATAAACCAAATCCACTGCTGCTGAGTCAATTCTGACTCATGGCAACTCTACAGGACAGAGCAGAACTGCCCTATAGGGTTTCCAAGGCTATAAATCTTTATGGAAGCAGACCGCCACATCTTTCTCCAGTAGAGCGGCTGGTAGGTTCGAACTGTCAACCTTTGGGTCAGCAGCCAAAGGCTTAAGCACTGAGCCACCAGGGATCCTAAGCAAAAGACAAATTACAGTTATTCAGACTTAGATACTCAGCAGATACTTCATTCATTTTTCTCGAAAATTAATGAAGTAAGCCTGTTACTTTAAGGAAAACTGATGACATTTGTTGTCATTGATATGATTTAAGCTTTCAAGTGGCTTATTATTGTTATATTTAAATAAACAAATATTTTTAAAATTTGTTTTAATTTCTAATATAGTAAATATTGATAGACATAACCCAGATAAGGAGCTCTGGTGGCACAATGGTTAAATACTCATTTAGGCTCAGCTGCTAACCAAAAGGTTGGTGGTTTGAAGTCAACAGCCACTCCATGGGAGAAAAGACCTGGAGATCTGCTCCCATAAAGATTACAGCCTAGGAGACCCTACGGGGCAGTTCTACTCTGTCCTATAGGATCACTATGAGTTGAATCGACTCAACAGCACATAACAACAACATAATCCACATAAAAGCTCTGAGGTTCTCAATTTTTAAGAGCATAAAGGGGTCCTGAGACCAAAGAGTTTGAGAATCATTATATTCGAGCTCTGTTATCTTAATTTTTCTCTTTATATTTTATTAGAGATTACAATGTGTATGTGTGTGGGGAGAGATAGGTTCTAAAAACACTGATAACATATATATTGTCTATGAAAACCACATCCAATTTACCTCACGAAGGTGGTCATGGTGAATATTTAGAGGACAACCAGTGGAAGTGAGCAAAGCATTAAAAAAAAAAAAAAAAAACCATTGCCATCGAGATGACTCCAACTCACAGTGTCCCTAGAGGACAGAGAAGAACTGTCCCATAGGGTTTCCAATGAACGGCTGATGGATTCAAACTGCCAACCTTTTGTTTAGCAGTCACTTAACCACTGTGCCACCAGGGCTCTGTAGCAAAGACATAGGGGTGAGTAAATAAGTCTATCAGTAAGCTTTAAGTTCTTCATGAGTATAGAGAGTCCTGGTAGACACAAAATGCTTAAGTTGAGGCTAGTCAATAAATATCCCAAAATGGCAAATAAAATCCTATACCATATACATATATATTTGCCTAAGAGTACAGATTCTCAAAGGGATCTATCAACTCCAGAAGGTTAAGAAGAACCACTGACCCATAGGATAAACTCCAAACTATTCTGCAAGCCCCTTGAAACCTTTCAGAACAGATGCAACTTTTTACACCACTGGACATAAAATTTCCTTTGCCTGGGAATCTACTCCCCAAGTGAACAACTACTTCTTCATATGGCATTCTGTTATGTTTTCATGTACTTCCTTTATAGATTATGAGGAAAAGACCACGTTGTATTCATTTTTATAGCCCCTAGTACCTGGCACAGTAGATACTCAAATATTTGTATAATAAATACGCACTATGCCATTAACAATGAAGGAAAGAAATACTATCTTCATTTTCAACAACTTGTTCCATAGGAAAGTCTTTTATGAAAAGACTTAAAAGTTATTTTTCAAAATATATCAGACCTATAATCAGTAATGATCTTATCACCATAAACCAAAACCAAACCTAACCAGTTGCTGTCAAGTCAATTCCGACTCACAGCGACGACAGATGGTTTAAAATGTTAAGTAGGCAACCAATGTCACAAAACAATATGTGTATTGTTTAACGAGAAACTAATTTGCTCTGTAAACCTTCACTTAAAGCACAATAAAAAAAAAAGTTAAGCGTTGTCTACACTTTTTTTAAAGAAAAACACTCACAAATAACATAAGGACAAACAAAAACAACTGCCTTTTCATCGATTTAAGTGAAAATTTAAACTATTAACACAAATTTAATTATAACTCTTAACCATACTAACTCTACTAGGTTAATCTATTAGATTTTTTCCTAACCTTTTTATTTGTTTAGCTTACTTAAACGTGATTTTCATCCCGCAATTGCTTTAATTTGCTTTAATAATTATTCTTTATATTTAATTACGGAACCCAGGTTTTAAAACTCTTTAAGTATACGCATTTATGTGTCTTTAAAGTAGACATCTGTATGAAATTAGCACTATTTCAGTTTTCAGAAAACACCAAGTAAAGCTTTAGGGAGATAGTGAGGGCGGACTGAATACCCAAGGAGAATCTGAGTTTCTGTGTCATTTAAAAAATATCCTCGGTAGGTTATTTAAAACAAGAACTCAAAAGTTCTTATTCTTCACCATCACTAAAACATAAGGTTAAAGAGCTACGGATATAAATGTTGCTGGTTATAAACACAATTTGCCAGCACCCTGGATGGATGCCAGCTTCCAGTTAATAAGAGCCTAAAAATCAGCACTGAAATACGTACTAGGCCACGAAGTTTGAAAGAAACCCGCATTGCCTGGTACATTCACTAACTCCACCAAGCGAGTGATCATTGCCAAGGTCGAATTAGTAAGTCTCTTTTGATGTTAATGACTGAGTGTTCCCAGAAAATGTCTAAAAGCTGACTGCTGAATGTTGCTTGGAAATATCTAAAACAAACGTGGGACGTCGACTCACTAGATGTCAGTAAGTGAACAGAACTGACCAGATGCGTTTTCTTAAAAGAGCTTTCCCTTGCTCCCCTAACCCACAGTTTATTTTTAACTCTAATATGGAGCCAATCTTAAAAGCAAATTAAGAACTGAATGCTCCTCAGATTACCTAGGCAAGGAAAAAAAGAAAACAAAGCCGCTTTCGAAGGAGCACGAGCGCAAGTCAGCACAGGGCCGAGGTGGCCGCGCACAGCGCGGAGATCGCGAGGCCGACGCGGCTCCGGCCTCCAGGTTTCGGTTAGACCGCAACAGGAAATCTTTTCCCTTGCGGGAAGGAGTGAAGCCAAAGGGAAGTTTGGAACTTCACTCTTCCAGTGGGCACCCAGAGGTGAGCTCTGAAGAGCGAGGGCGGCTCCGCGCGGGACGGAAGCGGCCGAGAAACTGCGCGGCCGCGGGGACTCGTTATTCCACGATGAGTCGGCGTCTCCGCCTGCGCGGCCGAGGCCGCGGCCTGCCCTTCCTTCCTTTTTCCCTCGCGGCCGCGGCGGCCTCCGGGCCAGCTGGCCGGGCCGCGCCCCCCACCCAGGGACTCTCCGCCTCCCCGGCCGGGGGCGCCGCAGCGAGTGGGCCGCGGGTGCGGGCGCGGCCGGAGAACTGCGGGCTTCGCCGGCTGCACTCACCCACTCGAGGACCTTGATGAAGCCCAGCGGCTCCTTGAGAGGGCTGAGGTTGATCTGGAAGGAGGACATCCTCTGAGGGAAGGGGGGAGAGAGAGTCAGGCGACGGGCTGAGGAGGAGGGGGACACACCGAGACCGGAGCAGCCCGGCGGCTAGCAAGGGCAGGCGGGGCGGGTTGGCCGGCTCCGGGGCGGGCCCAGCGGCCGCGGGGCGGGGTGGGCGGCGGTTGAGCCGCTCCGCAGAAGCACTGGGGCGGAGACGGAAAAGGGCGGTCGTGGGAGGCCAGGAGCGGGCAGGGCCTGGGAAGGGGAGGCTCCTCCCCGGGCCGCACCTGCCCGAGCCGGCTGATTCGCTGGCGAACCAAGTAGATGTTGGATGCCATGCTGCGTGCGCTGCGCCCCTTTCGCCTAAAGTCCAGCCCCAGCACTCCGTCTCCTCCCGCGCACGCGCGCGTTCCTTGGGCTGGCGCCTCGCGCCACGCTTCCTATCGCGTGCGGCGGCCGGGCACTCTCGCTCCGGGGCGCGGCAACGCCGTCTGGGCGCACCCAGCTTTCGCTTGTGCCCGCGCCTGCGCAATATGGCGCCCCTTCCCTGAGCAATAACTTGATTTCCCACTTACCCAGCTCGCGCCTCTTGGCGACTACAACTTTGTTCAGTACGTCTGGACACACCTCCCTTGCTTCAAACGTTTCTATTTTCAGCCATTTCCTTTCACATTTCTTAACTTTTAGATGGTTTCTTAAAATACTGACATAGATGAAGTGTTAAACTCATTGCCAGAGATGATTCCAATTCATGGTCATCCCATGTGTTACAGCGTAGAACTGCCTCATACGGTTTTCTTGGCTGTAATCTTCACGGAAGCAGAGCACCAAGCCTTTCTTCCAGGGTGCCGCCGGGTGGGTTCCAACCACAAACCTTGTGGTTAGTAGTCCAGCGCAAACTGTTTGTGCCACCCAGAAACCCTTAACACAGTATGTTGTGTGCCATTGAGTTGATTCCAACTCATAGCGACCCTATAGGACGGAGTAGAACTGCCCCCATAGGGCTTCCTAGGCTGTGATCTTTACAGGAACAGGTTGCCAGGTAGGTCTCTTCTCCCTCGGAGCCGCTCTTGGGTTCAAACCGACCTTTAGGTTAGCAGCCAAGCACTTTAACCAATGTGCCACCAGGGCTCCTTCTAATAGTCTAACACTCAGTAAAGAAGGAAGAAAGGAATTTAGCACAGTAGTATCCCAGTACTAACTTCCAAGTACTTACCTATATATATGAATAGAATTTCCAAGCACTTCTCTATGAATTGACATGTTAGCTGGCACTGTAGTTATTCTAGGAGGGTTTCACAGCTGTTATTAGACATCTATCTGGTAAGCTAACTTTTTTCTTTGGAATCCTATTTACCTCCTTGTTTGCTTATCAGAGAGTGCAAAGAGTGTATTTCCATTTCCTTGCCTACAGAGACAATCTACTATCCTGGCTCCCATTCCTCAGTCCCCAGCTCAGTCCATGCCGCGTGCTCAGTGGCCTCATAATGTATGATCGGAGTCCCTGGTGGTGCACTCAGCTGCTAACTGAGTTGGTGATTAAAGTGTACCTAGAAGAAAGGCCTGGCTATCTGCTTCCAAAAATCAGCCATTGAAAACCCTAACCAGCACAGTTCTACTCTGACACACATGGGGTTGCCAAGAGTCAGAATCCATTTGATGGCAGTGGGTTCTTCTTACTAAGAAGGCATCACAGATGTCCCTCATTACTAAATCAGTGCAATGTGACCATACCTGGATACCCAATGCACCTGAGATGATTGTGAGTGGTACCCCAGGTCTTCCTGCTTCCTTTCTTGGTTTTTTAATACTTTGTTTCTTCCTCTCACTGCCCTTCTCTTTAATCTATTTTTCTAAACTTTTACTACCATCTGTTGAGTTCTTTTGGGTGGACCCCTGGTGGTGGGGTAGTGGCTAGTTGGGCTATTTGGCTTGGGCCTCCTATTCACAAAGATTCAAATTAGACTTGTAATGTTATTTCAAAATGAGATATACATTGACAGACTAGAAAGAAGACATTCATCCTGCCACTTTAATTATTAACTTTAAAAATACGAAACATACTATAATTTAGTAACCCAGTTTTGACGTTTCTTCATTTTTTTTATTAATTGAAGGTCTCAGAAATTGGAATTGGCTGAGCCCTTTCTCAACTTCTGGGAAGCTTAGCTTTCTGTTGCCAGCTTTTCCTTCTTGTTGCTTTCTCTCCTGCTGCTGCTTCAAGTCCACCAGTGAAAGGCATGCATGGTTGTTGCCTCCCCTCAGGAAACCTTTGGTGCTAGAGTGCACACCTTGAACTTTAAGAAGGTTTCTTTCTTTACCATCGTCCACTAGTGTTTTAAAGATAGTAACCACTTAGGGCAAGCAGAAGAACAGTATCTGCTCACTTGTCAGAACTCATTCATGGAGGTGACTGGACAGAACAAAGCAGGCAGAGAGCCAGCAATTACCATCAGTCACATACAGCCCAGCACTACCTCTGCACGTCAGCTGAGCTCAGGGGAGATCCTACTTTCCTGAGAGGGAGCTGGCAGTGGCTCCTTCTCGGGCAACAAGATAGTTGTGAATTTTTAAAATTGTTTAAACAAAAGTGTTTAAACAACAGCATCTCATTGAAGGAGCAGCTGTTCAAAATCTGGGAAGATTGTTCAGATGACTATATCACATTGATTACAACACTGGTCATTTTCTGATTTGCTCGTCAAATCTGAGGGAAGAGCCAGAGGCTCTGAGCACATAGTGTTCCAGGTTTCTATCCTGTCAGGGCCATTGTTGAAAATAATACTTCTAATGCAAAGTTGTCCATCTATACAAGGTAGTATTGTTGAGCTCTATCATCATATAGTTATGGCAGAGTTACCTCAATAATTTGCCATTATTTCATTTTCTGTTTTCTGTTTATAAAACATGTGCCAGGTTGTGATATTTGGGATTTAAGAATTCTTAAAAGGTCAGAAAGGAAGTTATTTTTAGATAAATCATATTGTTGGCTAACTATATATGACATTCTTCTGTTTTTCTCAATTGGAATACAAAGTTCTGGTCATGTAATTGACAAGATGAGACTTTGAAACTCGTTCTCAAAATATTTGCCCTTTTTCTGAAAAGATAGTGTTCAATACTGACAAGATCAAAATCTTGCTTACTTACAAACAAAACAGATCCTCTCTATTCACTGATGGATTCAACAATCATTTTAGAAAATATTTAGATTTATTTAAAATATGCAATAGAACACACACATATATATATACACATATGTATGCAATTATGTATGCCTCTATCTCTAGACATATGGTAATATAATATATATGTATGCTTATATTTATAAAAAAAAGAAAATATGCAATAGATTGACGCAATGGATCCAATAAATTAATCTCAAAATAATTAAACTGATGTCTTTTTTTTAATGTACCTTTTATTTTTGAATAATTGTAGATTTACAGAAAAGGTGCAAAATACAAAGGATTTCTGTGTACACTTGACCCAGTTTCTCCTAATCTTAACATCTTATGTGACAACAATACATTTGTCAAAATGAAGAGATTAACATTGGTATATTGTTATTGACTAAACTATAGCATTTTTAAAATTTTGCCATTTTCCACTAATGTCCTCTTACTGCTCCAGAATCCAATCCAGGATACCACATTTAATCTAATGAGGTCCTGGAGTGGAGGGTGTATGATAATCATTTTCCATTCTGTTGGAAATGAAACAAAATGCATGAAAAGGATTCAATATATGGCAAATTGCCTTGACCCCTGTGGCCCTTGTTTTGTGGCTGCTGCCTGCTGGTTGGGTATCAGCCTTTGTCCAGTTAGGCTTCCTGGGCCTTGGTGTCCAAATTTGTGGTCATGACCCATTGTTGCCTATGATCAATCCTGGGGCACACCTGAAGCCTGGCATCTGCTCTCATATCCCCTGCCCCACCACCCATTGCACTAAACGTGAGCTCTGGAGAGCAAGCAGCCCTCTCCCTGCTCTGACTCCCTTAGAGCAGTGCTACAACTCAATGGTTAACAGCGGGCTGTGTTTTCAGACTTCTGGGTTCAAACCCTTCCTCTTCTCTATGACCTTCAGCAAGGGTTTGACCTTCCCAAGTTTCCATTTCCTCATCCCCGTTTTGCAGAGAGGAAATGAGAGTTATAGTAAGGCTTAACTTTTGTAATCTTCAGCGTTCATTTAGGAGAGTGCCTGGTATACAGGGAAAAAAACAGTTGTTGTCAGGTCGATTCTGACTCATGGCAACCCCATGTGAGTAGAGTTTTCAATGGCTGATATTCAATGGCTGATGGCTAGGCTTTTCTTGCGAGGGGCCTCGGGGTGGACTCGAACCTCCAACCTTTCAGTTAGCAGCTGAGTGCATTAACTGTTTATACCACTTCAGGGACTCTTTTATTTATTGGCTAGAAGAGAATTAGAGTTACAAGGAAAATTGTTCCATTGATCAAAGAAAAGAACTGTGAAACTTGCAAATAGAATTCTAGAGCAGAGAAAATGCAATTTTTCACTACTGAAAATCACATGGTGGCAAAGGTCATGCTAATCCTCTGTATATCAGGCCAATTTTAATATATTTGTGGCTGAAGTGAGCACAGTTCTTATCACCATTTTAAGTTTAGCTCACACTCAAGCAATGAATTATTTTTGTTAGTTGCTGTTAAGTAGATTCCAACTCATGATGACCCCATGTATGCATAGTAGAACTGCTCCATAGTGTTTTCAAAGCTGTAACCGTTCGGAAGCAGACTGCCAGGCCTATCATCCGAGGCACCTCTGGGTGGGTTTGAACTGCCAACCTTTCAGCTAGTAGTTAAGTGCTTAACCAAATATACCACCCAGGGACTCCAAGCAATGAATAAACAGAGAAAATATTCTGATTGGTAAAGGCCAATTTTATAATAATCATTATAAGTAGTGCAATTAGATTTTAGATTTCTAGAGGACAAAGGCTTATTGTATAACTACTGCATAATAACATAACTTGGCATTTGTATAATGTTTTGTATTTTTCAGAGACCTTTCATAGTCATTTTACACCTGATTCTTGAGTTAAGGGTCAGTTGGAGGGGCTTGTAGGAATTACAGTCTACATTTTGTTGATGCAGAAGCTGAAGCTCAGAGGAAAGAACGCTTGCCAGGAAAGGCTTCATAGAGGAGGTAACACAGTGCTGAAGCTTGACAGATGTGTAGGGGGTTCTCCAGGTAGATGGGAGTTGGAGAGTTCCAGACAGAGGTGCTGCAGAAGGAAGGGCATGGTGATAAGAGGAGGGTTCTGGAGTGGGACCAAATACTTACTTCCTTGTATCTGATGCTTTCAGTAGGGGGAGCAGTGGAGGGAAATGGAGGAGCCTGGAGATAGAGAGAAGCAGGGTCCTATATTATAGGCCAGGGGCTTGGACTTTAATCTCCAGCATTGTGCTACTCATAGGCACAGGAGACTAACATGATCAGGTTTTGGTTTTAGGAAGATCATCATGGCAGCAGTATAGAAGATGAACTGTAGATTCATGGTAGCTGATATTTTCTAAACCTGTTGGTGAGATCTCCAGGTCCCAGGTGAGTGACAATGAGCTCGAGTAGACAGAGCAAAACACTGTCTGCAACAAAAGCATGAGGTTTAGATGCAGAAGCCAGTGGTTCCTGGCCTGGCTTTGCCAGATCTACAAATTTTCCTGGAGTATAACCATTACCTCCTCTGT